ACATTTAAAAAATTAGATTAAAATAAATGATTGATTATTGTTAATTTTAATCTAATTTTTTAAATGTTATTGTTAATCTTAATTGGGTTTGTTTTTTGGATATTCTATCTAATTTTTTTAAACTTTTGTAATATGTTTTTTTTTATGTTGTACACCACCCTGAGTCCTTTGGGAGAAGGGCGGCATATAAATCCAACAAACAAACAAACAAACAAACCATTTCCATGGAGGAAATAGCCATTGATTTGGAAGATAGGCTCAGATTCAGAAAGATCTTGACCTACCTAACAAAATGCATTTCATTGGTGAGAAAAGTAAAATCCTTTATTTAGTCAAGAAAAACCAAATGAACAAGTATAGAAAAAAATGGCATTTGACTCAACAGCAGCAACTGTGAAAGAGATCCAGGTGTCCTAGTGAACAGCCATTTAAGTATGAGTCAACAGCATGCTGCATTTATGAAAAAAGCCAATGCAGTTCTAGGCTGCATCAATAGACAGATAATATGAAGATTATGTGCCACTGTACATTGCACTGGTAAGACCACTCTTGGAATACTGCATCCAGTTTTGGTCACCACAACACAAAAAGATGTTGAGACTCTAAAAAGAGTGCAAAGAAGAGCAGCAAAGGTGATTGGGGGACTGAGGGTTAAAGTGTATGATGAACAGTTGTGGAAACTGGCTATGTCTAGTCTTAACAAAAGGACTAGGGCTGATATGATAGCAATCTTCCAATATTTGAGGGGCTGTCACACAGATTTATCTAGTCCTCAAAGCACTTAAGGGCAGGACAAGAAGTAATTAATGGAAGTTTATTGAAGAGAGATCCAATCTAGAATTAAGGACAAATACCTGTAGGGAGAACAATTAATCGGTGGAAGAGCTTACCCACAGAAGCTGTGGGTGCTCCTTCACTAGAGATTTTCTAAGAAGAGATTGGAAAGCCATTTATCCAAAATGGTATAGTGTCTCCTACTTGAACAGGGGATTGGACTAGAGGATTCCAAGGTCTCTTCCACTTCTGTTTTTCTGTTATCATGGATGTGCTCAATTTACCTCAGAAGACCTGAGGGAGTGGGTTAAGAATAGATTATTTTGTAAATCGGCTTATGTAGTTCCTAAGAATAAATTCTAAGTTGTTTGCACATAATTGGTTTAATCAAAATGATATTTTATTTCCATATTCTCATTTCCTTTGTCTGTTCCTAAGACTATTTTGTCTACAAATCTGGATAATTTCATTGCCAAGAATTCACATGTGTTCCTCACTTTTAAAAAGTGCAAGTCTCCATTACTTTAAAAGTAATGGTTTTAAGAATAGAATAGTTATCTACTAACCTTTTACATTCCAAACTTTTGTTACCTTTTGGGAATCATGGAGATGTATCTGATGTAATTGGTAAAAAGGTAATTGGATGATCTGAATTTTTCCTGCATGTTTAAAAATAAATTCAAACATCATTTGAAAATTGTCATTAATCATTTTATTCTAGAGTTAAGTGTCCACTTTAATGAAGGTTAACCTTTTACATAAGTCACAAGGTGTTTTAAAAATAGTATAATCCTTAATTTCCACTTTTTAACTGGAATAATTATTTTGTGCTGCAAATCTTTCTGATTTGAAGAATAAGAGATAAATTCTCATTCTCCCTTGCAGATTCTCTGTGACAAACTATCTTTATTTGTCCATAAATGTCAAATAATCCTGATCTGTCAACTGATAGATTTATTTCCATTTATTTGTTGTGCAAATGTACAGACATTTTATTTTATGTGAAATAGATTTCATCTATTCAAGAGCCATGGTGGTGCAGTGGTTAGAATACTGTACTGCAGGCTAACTCATTGCTTACTCCAGGAGTTTGATTCTGAAAGGCTCAGGGTTGACTCAGCCTTCCACCTTTCTGGGATCAGTAAAATGAGGACCCAGATTGTTGGGGGCAATATGATGACTGTGTAAACTACTTAGGGAGGGCTGAAAAGCACTGTGAAGTGACTATAAGCCTAAATGCTATTGCTGTCTTATGTGTGGCTATTTCAATGTTCTCTTCTTTCACTGTGCTTAAATATAATGTATACCTTACATTGAAACATTTATAGAATGTGAGAATAGAAACCATTTCCCATATGAATCTTCTATATTGACCAAATGTCTGCACTAAGTTTGTGTTCTGCCTTATTGTACAGAAAATATTGATTGATTTATTGGTTTATATAACGCCACAACTCACAAAAATGTAATTGTGGGTGGCTTTCAACATTAAAAAACAAAATTATAGAATCCCTAGGCAAAAAAACAACTAACAATCAGCCACATTGTAGACTTCAAATTGGAGATAGTGAGTTAAGTTAGCACAGTTTCAGGGAAGCTCAGAATAAATAAAGCCCATGTGGTTTTTCATTTCATGGAAGCACCTGAAAGGTAATAGAAATGTCTGAATAATTTCTTGGTCCTTGAAAAGCATCTCCAATTTATTTTCAGGTGCAAGTGACTAGAGTATTTTTAAATTTGATCTGAAACTGACTACATGGTCAATCTTAGAAGCTAAAATACAATTTATATATGATGCATCATGTATATTCTTTGTCAAGTTCTAAAGAAGTCTCATGAGTATATGGAATAAGTATGATATGTTTTTAAAAACATCTATTCCTGCTTAGGGTGGTTAATCCTAATATCTATTGAGCATTAATAAAGAAACAAAAATGCCAGAACATTTTCAATCCTATTAATTCCTTTGTGGTTACTACATTATAACTATACTTTTACATAAGTAACTAAAATTATGTTGCAATCAGTAGGAACCACAGAGCCTATTTCCTGGGCTTTTACAAGAAAAACAACTTGACCATTGTAATTCACTGACATAAATGAATTCAACAAATTTGTTAGTAAAAATAATCATTATAAGCAGGAATAGATGAGCTATGTTTTGCATATTAAATATCAACAATATATATTTTTCTTGAATGAGTATTTTCCACATTGTTAGATACAGATGACTGCATCTGTAAATTACTGTCCCATCAATAATGAGAATTAAGAATAGTTTAATACCAGTCTTATCTAAGCAAATGTTACTCTTATAAGGTGGGAGGACGAGATATTGTTAATGGCATTACCATGCAGTGTTAAATGATGAGTATCTAATGACTCAATCTATCATTCTAATGAGGCCATCTGATCTCAACATTAATTCTGAAAGACTCATTGGGCTTTATTCCAGCAGATCATCATATTCTATCCTTTGTATAACATTTATGGAACATTGAATATTGCAACATGTAAAAGCAATTCAAACAGCCAGCTCGTAAGGGTGAGGGAATAAAAATAGAGAGCAAACAATAATGAACATGCAAAGCTTAATATCCACAATAGGTGGCAAAGAAAAATAAAAACCATGGGGATGGTGAATAGTGTACTGACCAAATTTATGAAAAAAAGGCAAAGGCTGGATAGCAGCAATTGAACAAAAAGAGCTTTTTCCTTCTCCTTATGGAGTATCTAAAATCAAAGGAACCAGGTCCAATTTACAGGCCTTGTAAGATTTAGTTAGTGTTGTTAGTTGCAAAGTCATGTCCGATCCATCGTGACCCCATGAACAATGTTCCTCCAGGCCTTCCTGTCCTCTACCATTCCCCGGAGTCCATTTAAGCTCACACCGACTGCTTCAGTGACTCCATCCAGCCACCTCATTCTCTGTCGTCTCTTTCTTCTTTTGCCCTCAACCTTTCCCAGTGTAAGGCCTAGATTATAGCATTATATCAGTATGTAATGTCTCAGGTTCTTTTAACTGACTGGACAGATACTGTATATTTTTCCCTGTCCCTTTGGTTTCCTGCTTTAATTAGGGTATGATATGCTATCTCTGCGCTGAAATTAATCCTAAACAAAATGAGCTGTACGTTAGAATTGGAAGCCATGAAATAATATATTTGTTATTTTTCTTAACGCTAAACATTCTTGATTTGTAGACAAAAGTGTTCAGATAGTAAGAAATAATTGGAATTCTTTAGATGCTTTTAGTAATTCATGGGAAAAGAACATTGTACATTTCCTCTCAGAATTATCTTGAATTTCTGTATATTGTCTACATATTTGCTAAATGTTGGTAAAGCTCACTATGTTTCAAGAAGGAGATGAAATATTTTGTCTTTGCTCATTTTATAGTTCAGTTAATACTTTATTGCCATGTTTGGAAATAGAGACTGAAATATCTGTCTAGGTTGTAAGAACATGTGACATTTCCAAAAGAAGACTGATGAGATTCTTTTTACAGGCAATTTTCACTTCCATTGTTTTAAACTACTGTGGTAGTATGCATTTCCTTTGGAATATATTTTTCATATTACATTATTAAAATTATGTTTTGAAAATGCTTTATTTTGTTTTGTTTACTAGGAAACAGATCTCATGACCTTTAACATCTCAATGCATCGATCTTGGTGGCGAGAACATGGGCCAGGCTGCATACGAAGAGTAGTGCGCCCTTCAGCTCCTGGGATCATAGATGATATTTCCTATGTCTCTGTGACAGGTTGCATAATTGACTTTCAGTACCTAGAGGTCATTCATAGTGCCATCCAAATTCTACTCTCTGTAAGTCCATATTTACCTTTATGGATATTTTTATTTTTACATATTTTTTTCCATACTGCCACTGCTGCTTTTTTGTGTGTGCCACTTTCAGTTATTCAGCCACTTTTAAAAAAAAATTTTAAAAACAAGAATTTAAAAAGTGTTTTGCATATATATTTTGATATGAAATGTGCTTTAAATTTTGGTGCTTTTTGTTCAAAATTCAGAAAATATCTTCACAAGTTCTTTTTGTTTGTGTCTACACACACACAGACACACACAATATATATGTTTGTGTGTATATGTGTATGTGTATGTATATGTATGTATGTATGTGTGTGTGTGTGTGTGTATATATATATATATAATATCTGGCCCTTTAGCTGTCCCTGTCCAGTCTGCATGAAGTCAATTGGAAATTACAAATCATATGTAAGTAAGTGTACACCATGCACACAATACAATTGCATTGTTTTTATTTTAAAGGTAACTTTTTAAAAAATTACTTATGTACATCCATGTGTGCCTACCCCCCTTCATAACTGTATTGGTTCAGCCCTCCAAAACAATCACAGTTTCTAATATGGTCTCTAGGGAAAATTAATTGCCCACCCCTGATATATAGTTATAAAAAAAGACTATTTTTTTAGATTATTTTTTAATGCCAAAGGTGCTCATAGAAGAAACTTATTAATGTAAAAGCTTCTTAGTTTTTGTTTCATATGTAAAGAAAAGATATTAAACTTATTAGGAAATTTATTTTCCCTAGACACTGAATTTTTATATAATTTCATCAGTAGAACCATTACAGAATTTCATATTGTACACATGTATCTGGTTGTCCAGCGATATAAAAATCCATTGTTTCATGCATCTACAGAATAATCTGTACAATGCATTCTATTAAATTACCATTTGCGTCATGTACATATTGTCTATGCTGAGCTGTTTCAGGAATACAAGACTAATATCTAATACCACCTGCAGATAAATTTTCTATGGAAGGTCTATGGAAGTTCAACAAAGTTGTACTCATGACAGTAGATAAAAGCTGCATTAAAAGCAGCACTCTTATAGATGTTCTACAGGTGCAAGAAATCATGATTTGGCTTACAATCTGAATATTTGGTACCTTCCCATGGTAGCAACCTTTGACTGCATTAAATAAGATTCATAGCAATGCAGAGAATATTATTTTAAACATGTTCATACTTTACATGATTTAAACTGTTAATCTAAATTTAGACAGATTAATATTTGTGTTTTCATGTGATTCTCTGATCCTTCTTTATTTATTCAGATTTGATATAATCTTTATTCGTTAATGAATTCCTCTCACTTGCAAGAAAGGAGAAAATACTATTATAAGTAGTGTAGTAATTAAGAAAACATTATTAAAAGAGTCATTTGGAACATGTAGCGTAGTTTATGCAATATGGCAATCCATGTTACTTTATCATGCAAATTAAAATAAAGCTTTATGTTGATTTGCAAATCAAATTAGAAAAATAAATGAAAGAGAAGACTTAATGAACTTCTCTAATTATCTAGGAGCAGTTTATATGCCTAGGATAAGCTTCAAAATATTAAGGACAGCTATTTTTTTGCTAACGTAACATAGATTTGTCAATTACTTGTAATTAACCATTAAGATGAGAAATTTATTCACTGCATTAGTACAATGGTCCCATTGTTATCTTTGTTCTTTTGAATCCAGAAAAACTCATTCACTTTTCCTTTCTTTTCTTATAAACCCCATCGCTGCAATGGAATATGTAAATGTTATACAGAAAGTTATGAATTAGGCTCTCTGATATGTTCTGTACATTGTGAACTATTGACTTCAAACATATTGGACTCATACCTGATAGTTTTGTACACTCTGGTTTGCAAGTCCTTTGTTCCAAGATTTTCAGTATGGTACATAGCTATTATTAATCACTGCAATGATAGGATGGTCTCTCATCACTACAATGGTAGATGAGAGAAGGATGGTAAAATATTGTCTTTTCTGAAATGGGTGATTTTTCTTATTGACGCAATGGTGAAAATGATGTTTATAATTAAAATGATGTCATTACACATTCTCATTGTACAAGAATAGAAATATAACTTCTGTTATGTATAGAAATTATAAGGTAGTCACTATTCTCATACTATTAGACTACTTCAAAGAAACAAATCACTCAAAACTATCAGATGAAAGGCATTTAATCCTATTTAATCTACCACTACTATGTAAAATGCTCTTATAGTTCAGTATATTTCAAGCTCTGTACATTTAATCTGCTAATATTTCTATGAATTTTTGCTTAGTTTCAGGTGGTATGGTATCAGTATATCTTCATGTTTGGTATGGGAAGTCCATTATTGAGTACTTCCTGAAAAATTATTATGCCTACTAGGTTAAGAAAGGATTAGATTTCTTTTACATATATTTAAATTTAGGGATCATATTGTCCATGTATTCATTGAAGGCCACATGTTTGACCTCAGGAGGATGGGGTGGGCATGTCTAGAGTGGGTGTGGCTAGCTCAATGTCACTCCTGTCGGAGGCGCCTGTGGTGGCCTGAGTGCTCTGCAGCGAAAATGGGCTCCTGAACTTCGTTTTCGACTGCCACAGCTCCTCCAACCCTCTGCCAGTGAAAATGGACCCCAAGCTCCATTTTGCAAGTGGCAGTGGCAGCTGATAACAGAGTTCAGGAGCCCGTTTTCTCTGGCAGAAGCACCATAGGTCAGTCCTTCACTGTTTTCAGGGCAGTCCCAACGGCCAGATCTAAGTACCTGGTGGGTCACATCCAGCCCCCGGGCCTTGAGTTTGACACGCCTGCTCTACATTTACTGGGATGGAAGAGATGTTTCTATTTGAGGAAGAGAGTTCAGAATTTAGATTATTAAGTGCAATATTGCTAACTCCCAGGGAAATATGGGAGGTAATGTCTAAGGAAAGTTTTTGAACTTATAATATGGTATTAAAAAGGAAAATTCATCTTTATTCGTTTTTAAAACAGCTAAATCTCACATGTAAATCTTAAGAAAAAAAATCATTATTTCATTGCCTCCTAAAAAAAATTCAGAAAAATATCTGAAATAACGCATCTGCATTATTTTTAAAAATAACAAAATATTTCTCCAGTATCATAATATAATTGACTGTACTCCTCTACATTCCCAGGTACTAATTTGTCCCAATATAGGGTACATCTTTGTGTGGAATTTTAATATGAATATGTCCCCATCGATCCATTCCTCCTTAGCTACTATATCATTATTAATCTCTTTACAGTGTCCTTGATTTAATTGATGGTTTAAGTCTCACTATTTTCAACATATCTCTCAGCTACTGATTATTTAATTTGAGGATGAACCATTACATTTTTGTGATTTTAAATACTACTTTATCAAAGGGAAAAAATAATTTTAAGTAGCAGCCATTTAATTAGCAGTCTTCAGTGGAGCAGCTATTAAAATGAACATGCCAATTAATATAAAATGAAATATTTCCTCTGTGCTCAGGAGACCTTTAGTGCTTTTCCAAATACATATTTTCAAGAAAAATGTAGATTGCATGTTCACTCTCCCATATTTTACTGTATATTTTGTTACTGGGATTTTTAAAAGCCCATAGCAAATATAGCAAGAATCAAAGTTAAGAAAATAATTTCATTAATGTCTCAGACATCTCTTGGTTGATATCCAAGATTAAAAGATGATGAGATAAATATGTTAGGAACACAGAGCTCCATATCCCTGATATATTTATGCCATTTTGAAAAAATACTTACTTTTAATACTTCTTTGGTCTCTTGAAGTTAAAGTGACTATCTTACTATATGTCTTAAGCAGCGAAAATAGGCAAAACCCTTTAGCAAAATAAGCAAATAGTGATATTTTATACTCACAATTTCTTTGTAAAAATGGAATTCATTGAAAAACAAATTGTTACTCTTAAAAGTATAATATTCTAAAACTGAAGTATGCTGCCAAATACTTGGCAAATACTCTGTGAGTTATAAATTTTTTTTTGCAGGTATGTAAATATAGCCACAAGTAAAGGATTGTATATACTTGACATTAGATAGTAGCAAAATTCTATGTGACACATTGTTGAATGCCACCTAAATAACACAAAGGTTGGACTTGGTGCTTTTTCTCCTACTAGCCAGCCTTCTTTCATAACAAAGATATCTATTATGGCAGCAACTGGTAGTCTCCGGTTTCAGAGTGTAAAGAACAAGGCAAGAAATCCTTTAAATAGTGGGAAACATCAGAATGAAATTGCAGCATATTATCTCATCCCAAAGATACTTTTTCAAGAGGCAACTGGGCTTTCTAATTTTTCTTTGAAGGTGTTTCTCTCTGAAGAACTAAAGAAGCTTCTTGAATGAGAAGCGAAGCGTCTTCAAAGAAAAACTATAAAGTCCAGTTGCCTCTTGAAAAACACCTTTGGGACTGAGAATCTCTATAGACATTCAGCCTATTGTCTGTTTTAGTGTCTTCATCTTAGTCTACAAGCCCAGCGTTCTAACTTAATGAACCAATGCACTCCCCTCCGATGGTGATGAAAAGTATGGACAGGACAGCAAGTGCCCTAGAACGAGTACTACTAAGAGCCAAATAATGTTTGTTTGGCCATATAGCATTTACTAACAGCAAATATGTGATAGATTGAATTTTACTACAAGGGAAAGGAGCTGCATTTCGAAGCTGATGTGGAAGCAATGCTGCTTTCCTGCCACTGCTATGCTGCTGTATGATTCTGAACAGTTACTCATGTTTTATACATGGACAGCAATGAGAATACACTCACATCAGTGGTGGGATTCACTTACCTTCCCTACCAGTTTGCAGATCTGAGCGTGCACGCTTGCTTCATTTGCATGGGCCGCTTCTGCACATGTGCACCGCCTTTTCCAATGGTGCAGTGCTCGAGCATTATGTCGGGGTGGGTGGGCAGAGCCTCTCACAGCAGCTGCTACTGGTTTGCCTGAACCGGAGAGAACCGACTGAATACCACCTC